TTGATTCCAGGTTCTCATTTTTCTCTTGAGCCTTTTAGTGTATAGCTGTTAAGAAAGTACAAGTAAACTAATCACAAACTACTTTTTTCTTTCTTTCTTTTTTTTTTTTTCTTTTTTGGAGGCAGAGTTCCACTCTATCCCCCAGGCTAGAGTGCAGTGGCAGGCGATTTCAGCTCACTGCGACCTCCGTCGCCCAGGTTCAAGTGATTCTTCTGCCTCAGCCTCCTGAGTAGCTGGAATTACAGGTGCCCACCACCATGCCCAGCTAATTTTTGTATTTTTAGTAGAGAAGGGATTTTGTCATGTTGGCCAGGCTGGTCTCAAACTCTGACCTCAAGTGATCCTCCCACCTCAGCCTCCTAAAATGCTGGGATTACAAATGTGAGCCACTGTGCCTGACCCTAGTTTGTTTTTAAATATCTGATTGGGCTCTCTTTAGAGTGTAACTGTGAACCATTGATCAGTTCTTTTGAAATAGTATACTAGGAAATTTTGAAGAATTATATAATAGATGGTTAAATCATTTTTTGACTACTATCATTTTTTAGGTGTGACTTGTGGAAGCTTTAAGATTGAAGTAATTTCCTGGGTCCTCTAACAATTATAGTAACATTTGCTTAAGTAGGATTGAAAAGTTCTTCATTTACTTTATAATGACTATTTGGGTGAGCATTTCAGCTTTTCATTTTTGACTAGGAATTGGTCAGGATTTGGTTTGCTATAGAGATAGTGTTTAGATTTGGAAAGCAAGTTTAGTAATCAAAGTAATTTAATAGAGGTAAAAGTACAGGGAGAATTATGGCTCAACTTTAGGGACTGAGTAACTTTACTATAGTTAAACTTTAATTCTAGTAAGTTTATTAAACAATGTAAAGACACTCTCTAACATTCTAGAACTGCCTTGTAAAAAGATGTGGGGATATTTGGCAGGTCGTAATGATTGCTGTTATTACTAATATATACAAGTGCTTTTCAAATTGGAGGTTATGATGAAGTCCTTCATTCACTTTAAGAACTAAGTAGCTTTTGGTTGTACCAAAACCTGCTACAGTCTAAGCTAAAGCGAACATTTCACCTTTCCTTGTTGAAAATCCGGGATTAGGTCAATTCTTCACCATCTCTGGAAGAACAATTCTATTCATGCAGTCATAGCATATGATGAGTAGAAAGCACAGCCATGTCTGTTTGGATAAATTGCCAAGTTTTAAGCCAGGAACAATTGTCCTTAAGTTATTGCAAATCAGGGTGTAAACTGGATTTTTTTACTTTTTATGTGCCTCTCTATATAAAATAATGAGTAAATTACATTAAATTAACTGATTTTTTTTTTCTTCTTTTTAGATCACTATAAACAAAATTTCCACCAGAGAAAATGTTGAAATAGGAGTTGTGGATACATTGGATATACTGGATGAAATACAGCGGTTAATTTTTGTAACGTGGGGGAAAAGCCCACATTGCTGGTTACATGTGTAAATCACTGCGTTATTGCTTTAGTCATTGTCTCTATTTAGCAATGACAAGACTGGAAGAAGTAAATAGAGAAGTGAACATGCATTCGTCAGTGCGGTATCTTGGCTATTTAGCCAGAATCAATTTATTGGTTGCCATATGCTTAGGCCTATACGTAAGATGGGAGAAAACAGCAAATTCCTTAATTTTAGTAATTTTTATTCTAGGTCTTTTTGTTCTTGGAATTGCCAGCATACTCTATTATTATTTTTCAATGGAAGCAGCAAGTTTAAGTCTCTCCAATCTTTGGTTTGGATTCTTGCTTGGCCTCTTATGTTTTCTTGATAATTCATCTTTTAAAAATGATGTAAAAGAAGAATCAACCAAATATTTGCTTCTCACGTCCATAGTATTAAGGATACTGTGCTCTCTGGTGGAGAGAATTTCTGGTTATGTCCGTCATCGACCCACTTTACTAACCACAGTTGAATTTCTGGAACTTGTTGGATTTGCTATTGCCAGCACAACTATGTTGGTGGAGAAGTCTCTGAGTGTCATTTTGCTTGTTATAGCTCTGGCTATGCTGATTATTGATTTGAGAATGAAATCTTTCTTAGCTATTCCCAACTTAGTTATTTTTGCAGTTTTGTTATTTTTTTCCTCATTAGAGACTCCCAAAAACCCCATTGCTTTTGCATGTTTTTTTATTTGCCTGATAACTGATCCTTTCCTTGACATTTATTTTAGTGGCCTTTCGGTAACTGAAAGATGGAAACCGTTTTTGTACCGTGGAAGAATTTGCAGAAGACTTTCGGTCGTTTTTGCTGGAATGATTGAGCTCACGTTTTTTATTCTTTCAGCATTTAAACTTAGAGACACTCATCTCTGGTATTTTGTAATACCTGGCTTTTCCATTTTTGGAATTTTCTGGATGATTTGTCATATTATTTTTCTTTTAACTCTTTGGGGATTCCATACCAAATTAAATGACTGCCATAAAGTATATTTTACCCACAGGACAGATAATAATAGCCTTGATAGAATCATGGCATCCAAAGGGATGCGCCATTTTTGCTTGATTTCAGAGCAGTTGGTGTTTTTTAGTCTTCTTGCAACAGCAATTTTGGGAGCAGTTTCCTGGCAGGTAAGCTTATTGTTTGTCCATCAACCCCAAAGATATGTAATAAAATGCTGGCTTCAAGAATTGAAATTAAAGTTGTAAGGTCAAGTTCCTGAAAAAGGATATTATTCATATTTGCTCTTATTTAATTTTGTCATTGGAATTGAAGCACTGAATGTGTTTCAAAAGGATAATTTATTTGATCTCTAACAAAGAAGTACTAAAATGTTATGAACACTCAGCATTGAGATGCCTCCTGCTTCCTGATTGTTCATTAGTGAAACACTCATCGATTAAAGATTCTTAGTATACTAGCATTTGGAAAGTATTTAAAGATTGTATTTTGATCCTTTCATTTTACCCATGAGGAAACCGAAAGCCAAAGAAGACACATCCAGAGTCACTAGTACTAGCAGGAGCAAGGTTACCTACCTAACTTTTGTCTTTTCCTGGACTCCTCACTGTAACATGTTTCTTTTATGTAGCCATTTCTCTGAAGATTTTATATAAAAGGTGATTAGATATATAACAACATATCAGGTTCTTAATTATAGATTAGAGGTTATCCTAAGAAAGAAAACCTGAGTTTCATCATACCTTTGCTGCCCAGAAATTTTTTAAAAAAGGTTCTTGTATACAAAGACATTTGTACAGATGGAGTTTGCATCTGCAGTATTAACAAACCCAGTCTTTGATTAATTGAGCATGTATTGATTATGCACTATATATATGCCAGGCACTATTCTGGGTGTGGAAGATCTCAGGATGTCTGTCAGAGGTGGCACAGTCTCCAAAGGGAGGAGGAAGAGGCTGGCATGTAAATTACTATCACAGTGAGACAAATACTATATTCTGTGTACATCACGCTGGGATATGGGGCAAAAAGGAGAGTCAGCTCTGCTTGGTGGAATTCTTTGTAACAGTTTGTTGCTCCTGAGAGATGAAAAGTGTGTTTTGAAGGGGGAGATGTGGAGACTTGCCTGGAAATGGTGCTTTCTAGTCAGCTGGGCTAGGGTAGGGATCCTATGTGGGAGTCAACCAAATGAGGAAAACATCTTGGGTGTTGCCCGAGGATATTGTCCTTACTTTGCTCTACTTGCTGGTGTTAGGGACTATCAGAATTATGGTGATATCAAAAACTCAAGCATGAGTTTTCCTCCCCTAACTTGCCTCTCTTCTTCCTGCTAGCTCCTTTCCCAGCCCTAAATACTTTTTCTTTTCCAAGTCAGCCTCATTCATGCTGATACCATTCCAGGCTATCAAATTCTGTTAACAAAATATTAATATTTTCTTGGTCTGCAAATTTTTTCTTATGCCAGTTGTCTTCAGATACAGTGTGTACCACTCTAGATACACGAAAACTTTCCAAGAGTCTATCAGCAGAGATAATTTTAAGAGAATCAGTTTCCAGATTCTCACCTTCTATTCTATTTTTTCCTAAAGTTGATCTACTTAAGAATCCCTCAATTTAGATGTGGGGTGATATTGTGGTTTTAATTTATGTCTCTAATGACTAATGATGTTGAACATCTTTCATGTGTGTATTACCCATTTACTTTGTTATTTAAACATTCACATTGTTTGCCCATTTTAAAGCTGAGTTATTTGTCTTGATTGAGTTTTAAGAGTTCTTTATATATTCTGGATACAAGCCCTTTGTCAGATAAATGATTTGGAAATGTTTACTCCCAGTCTGTGGCTTATGTTTTTATTTTCTGAATGATACTCTTTGAAGAGTTTAGAAGAGTATAAGGTTTTAATTTTACAGAGTCTGATTTATCTGCTTTTTCTTTTATGGGCTCTGCTTTTAGTGTCTTATCTAGGAAGTCTTAGCTCAGTACTGGGTCACAATTCTTTAGAAGCATTATTTTAACTTTTATATTTAGGTGTATGATCCATATTGAGTTATAGTATGAGATAAGGATCTATGGTTTTTGTTTTAGTTTTTTTTAATATATAGATGTCTCATTGTTCCCAGCACCATTTATTGAAAAGATTAACATTTCCCCTATTGAATTGCCTTGGCACCTTTGTTTAAAATCAATTAAATATAAATGTAAGGTTGTATTTTTGAGTTTTTTTGTTATATTGACCTATATGTCTATTGTTATGCTAGTACTGTGCCATCTGGTGAGAGGTTTTCTAATTTCCCTTGAAATTTCTTCGACTCATGGGTTATTTATAAGTTTGGTGTATAATATCCTAATATTTGGAAATTTCCCACATTTCTTTCCATTGATTTCCAATTCCATGTGGTTGGAGAACACTGTTTGTATTTAGTTTTTTAGGCCACTTATTTTGTGGCATGGCTTTTTATTTCATGTTCACTTGAAAATAAGGAGTCCTGTGTTGTTGGGTACAGTGTACTATAACTATCAGCTAGATTAAGTTGGTTGGTATTGTTGTTCATGTATCTGTAGCCTTGTTAGTTTTCTGTCTAGTTCTTTAATACTGAGAGAGATTAAAAGCTCTATTATAGCTCCTGAGTTGTCTACCTCCTTTTTCAATTCTGTCTTTTTTTTTTTTTTTGCTTCATGTATTTTGAAGCACTGTTCCTAGATGTAGATGCATCTTTAATTGTTATATCCTCTTACCATATTAACTTATTATTATGGTAAACACCATAGTTGAGTAGTTAAAACAGAGACTATATGGCCTGCAAAACAAAACATTAACTATCGCGTCCAGCCCCCCGTGTTTTTGAGAGTTGTTTCACTCTTGTCACCCAGGCTGGAGTACAATGGTGCCATTTCTGCTCACTGGAACCTCCGCTTTCTGGGTTCAAGCGATTGTCCTGCCTCAGCCTCCCAAGTAGCTGGGATTACAGGCGCCTGCCACCAGGCCTCACTAATTTTTGTATTTTTGGTAGAGACGGGGTTTTGCCACGTTGGCCAGGCTGGTCTCTAACTCCTGACCTCTGGTGATCTACCCGCCTCAGCCTCCCAAAGTGCTGGAATTACAGGTGTGAGCCACCACATCCGCCCCCCTCTCTGGCCCTTTTGAGAAAAAGTTTGCCAATCTTTTTTCTAGACCATTGCTTCTCAATTTTCAGTATGCATACTATTCAGGTAGGGATCTTGTTAAAATTCTGAAGATTGGAATTCAATAATTTGGGGGAAGAGCATGAGACTCTGTGTCTTTAAAAATCTTCAACATGATGCAAAAACTTCTGATCACCAGCGTACTCATTGAGTGGTGATGTATTATTTAGCTATTCAAGACCAGTGTGAATCTACCTGAGTTATGGCTGCATTTCTCAATTGGTTGTTATTTGGAAACTGCTGCCCATGGCATAGGCATTGTGCCTTAAAGGTAAATTTTTTCTACTTAATTTAACCAATCTTCTTTAGAAAGATTTCAAACTCTGCTTTGCCCAGAGTTCTGTAAGATGTTAGTGAGTGTACTCTGAGGAAAAAAAATGTTCAAAGTACAGAAAGAAAAGCATTTTCAAACTAACTTGCCCGTGAAATCCTTGCTCTATCCCTCATTACTTATATTACTCACCTCTCCACGCCCATACCTTTTAATCTCTATGTGAAACATAATTTGGGAAGTATCTGCTCAATTTATGTATGTTCCAAACCTTTCGAATAATGAAAGAACCAGAAAGTTTTGCAGAAAGGCACATACTTAAGAGCTATGTTAGGCGATGACTATTTTGGGATAATAATATCATTGTTTAATGAAAATAAATTCTGAGGGCTATCTCAGATTCTTTAAATTGAATTTTAATTGATTTTTAAAATTGAACTATTTTTACTTATTTCCTGAATGGTATTGATACCATTTTTCACATAATCTAAAACTATTTGTCATGTTTCTGTGAGAGTAATACTAAAGTAGTAATTTTTCTCAGTCCCATTAAAATATCCTTCAATCTGTTTTCACTAGAAAAACTGTGCCACTGATTAGATGAGGGCAGACCTAATGTGCAAGGAAAAAAATGAATTAAAGAAGGCTTTGAGTAGATCAGTTTGTGAGCTATGACAGAATCTATGAAAGTAAACACAGACTGAAATCAAGAAGGCTAGCCAGGAGCAAGAGATAAGGACTTGTACTAAGGTAACAGGGAAAAGGGCTATGATAAGGATAAGACAGAGCATTATCAAATGAAAAACTAATAGATTTTGTTGAGAAGTAAAATATAAAGAGAATTTGATATTGGTTGATAAAATGTAAAGTAGAAGGTTGTGGTAGATAGTCAAAATGTTAAAAAGATGTTGAGAACCTGAAGAGAGCAGATAAGAATGTAGCATGACAGAAAACATGACGGATTTCACTGAGTTAATGACTCAGTGGAATGAGTTAATGACTAGTGGACATTTGGGATTTATTATATGCCTTATAGGCTTATTTATCTTTTAAAATATATTTTTAGGGACTCAAATGCATTTTCATTTTACTATTAGATAAGTAAAAACATGCAAGATTAACATGCCTTATGGAGCACAATTGTAACTTAGATCATAATCCCAAAAAATTGGTTTAGCCATTGTTCCTTAAGGTTTTGCATATGAAAACTTTAGGGTTTTGTTAGTTTTACTTAGCTTAATATAAAAAAAAAAAGTTTAAGGAAAAATTTACATATAGTAACATTCACCTCTTTTAGTGTGTAATTCTGTGATTTTGACAAACACATAAAATTGTCTGACAACCACTACCACAATCAATGTGTAGAGCAGTTCCATCACCCCTAAAATTCTCCTCTGCTTCTTTGTAGTCAGTTCTTCTCCCAACCCCAGATATTTGCAACCTGATTTGTTTTCCATTCCTAGAAATTTTCCTTTTCCAGAATGTCATATTCATAAAACTGTATAATATTGTAGCCTTTTGAGCCTGACTTTTGTTTTTGAGACAGGGTCTTGCTTTGCAGTCCAGGCTAGAGTACAATGGCATAATCATGGCTCACTTCAGCCTCGACTGCCTAGGTTTAAGCAATCCTCCTGTCTTGGCCTTCCAAAGTTCTGGGATTATAGGTGTTAGTAAGTTAGTTACTTTTATTGTGAGCAGTATCCCATTGTACGCATGTTCCAGTTTATCCCTTATTCAATTGAGAGACACTGAAATTATTTGCAGTTTTTTGGTAATTATGAGTAAAGCTGCTATTTGTGTTAACATAAGCTTTTATTTTATTTAGTGCGATGTGAGATTGCTGGGTCATGTGGAAAGCATTTGTTTTAACTTTATATTGCCATATATATGTATTTCTAGAAAATCTACAGAATAAGCTCATGATACTAATTATTTATATATTCTAGAAATCAAGACTTAAAAGGTTAATTAACTTATTCGTGTACATATAGTAAGTGGCTGAGCTGGGATTAAATCAAAGTCTAACTCCAAAGCTTGGGTCCTTTCCACTATGCTCTACTTCTACATAAACAAGTCATTTGATTTTAAAATTATGCAGTAGCCTTCATAATCTTCTTAAGTTTCCTGAACCAAGTAAAGTTTTGAAAGTTGCCTATGTTTCTTAAAGCCAGACTTCTCACAGTCTTTCCATTTATATATTTCCACATTTATGTATGCTGTTTCTTAGCTGGGCTTTACTTTCCTTAGACTTCTATGTATGTTTTCCAAATCTGGTTTGCATAAGGTGACTCATACAAAAATAATTCTAAACAAACAAGGTTTATATGTTTCTTGTGTAAACGTTACATTTTTTAAATGGCGTTGCATAAAGAAATTTCTTTCCTGTTACCTGAAAAATTTTAGGATATGAAATGTTGAATACTTAGACTATGACTTGAAAGCCCAGCTAAATGGAGATCTAATAACTAGTAACAACTTTTATTCAAAGGACATTACTTACAGATTGTTTATTGATCTTCTTTTGTGCTTAGTTTATATCTACTCTGAAATATGAACCATATCTTAAAATTTGATAGTGAGCTTAGAATAATTTGGAGAAGCAAAGGAGAAAAAGTACTTATAGGTTATGGCTCTAGATTGAAGCTATAGAATAAAGGTTTGCAGACCAATAAAATTGAAGCTCTCTGAAAGAGGCAGGTGGATAAAACATCCTAAATTTATTTTGGTTTCTCCTGGACATACTTGCCATCTGTTCAGTTAAGATTATGAATTTTTGTATTGCCTAAATACTCACTTGTGTGTGATTTTAATAGAATATTTAATACTGTTTTCCTAAGCTTGCTTTTTCAAAATAACCTAATAGAAGTACTTAATGATTTTTTTTTCCTGATAAATTAGCTTTTTAAAAATGTATAACAGGGCCAGGCACGATGGCTCACGTTTGTAAGTCAACTGTTTGGGAGGCCAACACGGTAGGATTGCTTGAACCCAGGAATTTGAGACCAGCCTCGGAAACATAGGGAGACCTCGTTTCTACAAAAATAAAATTGGCAGGGCATGGTGGTGCATGCACCTGTGGACCCAGCTACTTGGGAGGCTAAAGTCGAGGCTGCAGTGAATTGTGATTATGCCACTGCAATCCAGCCTGTATGACAGAGTAAGACCCTGTCAATCAGCATAAAATTCTCAATTTCTAAGATTTTTTAATATAAGAAGCTAGTAGTAACAGATCATCTGTTATTTATGAATTGTGATCAGTAAACCCCTGAATATCTGCTTATTTAGTTCTACTGTATCAAATATCATCATCAGTGTTGCATAATCAACATTAGGGCATTGAATAACATCAATATCAATTAACATTTTAATTAGAATTAATTATTAGGCTTTTCATTTGAGTCATCTTCAAATTGGCAATTAAACTTTATCATTTGCTTAGTCTACTGCTCAAACTGTTTAATACTTTTTTCTAACAGTAAAAGCATACTGAAGATTGAGAAGCAGTGGGCTAGAAAAAAATATGTAAATATATAAAATGTAATAGCCTGGAAATCAATAATCAGAGAATTGGGACTGATTCCATTTATAAGAACAGAAACATAAAATGCCTAGAAATAAGTTTTAAACTTATAAAACTTTTATTTTAAAATTACTATAAACCTCACTGAAGGCTATAAAAGAAGACTCGAATAAATGGAAAAACACACCATACTCCTGGGATGAAAAGACTCATTGCTGAGCCTTGCAGGCATTTGTGTATGTAGAGGAAACTGTTTTCAAAGCTGAGCTGCACTTTTGTTCCCCTCAAGGGTAGCAAAAATCAGAGCTAAGCCCGGGGCCTCCAGAAGTAAGATCTCTGGTAAATTAACTCTTATGCTTACATACTGAAAGAAGAGTGTAGAGCCATGTGTGTTATAGTTCTCTCATGAACTTGCTTTCTGCCCTTGTGCCCTGTTGGTGGTTCAACCTGGGATTAAGTGGTCAAACCTGGATTTAGATATGTAGACTCGTAATGTCTGCCATTCCCTGGAAGAAACAGATTGTCTCTAGGAGAAGGTATCATGATCTTAGGCCTAAATAATAATATAATTTTTATATTCACTGTTCGGCTCATAAATTTAACCAGGTACACACACACACACACACACACACCCCAAGAGCAAGAAGCAGCAAAACCAACAGACAACAGAAAAAAATCTTCAGGTATTGATTAGAACTATCAAACACAGAAAACCATCAAGCTAAGTTGCAAAAATAAAAGCAGAGATCAAGACATAATGATAGTACACTGGAAACTTTAAAAAGTGACAAAGCAAATCAGGAAATAACAAATTATTTCAATGTTGCAAACATAACATTAGACAAAGCTGAAGTGAACATTAGTGAACTGGAAGATACAGTTCAGAAGAAGCTGTACAAGAAGAAGCATGAAAAAGGAAAAGTATGGAAAATACTGAACAGAAAGAAAAGGTAAGACTCAAATAGGATATGGTAAGAAGATCTCATCTTTGTTTGATTAGACTCCCAAAAATGGAAGAAACGAAGACCAAAGGACATGTGAAAGGATAAAATATAGATCAACAGATCAGAAGACAGAGATCGAGAAAAGATCCATTAATACGACAAAGGAGGCACTGTAATGTGGAGTGGTTGATATTTTCAGTAATTGCTGCTTGGGCAATTGTTTCTGTAGAAGAAAAAATTGGGTCATTATCATAAACAGAATCAATTACATTTGGATTATAGATTTAAATGTGAAAGGCAAAACAAGACTTTAGAGGATAATGTTACAATCTCTTCTTAGTAGTTGGATAGAGGGATATTTATTTAACAAGGCATAAAGTGACATATAATTAAGAACTCATGTTAAGCAAAAAGCAGCATTAAAGTAGTCACAGAATCACCAACCAACAAAAGACTTTCATTTAAACTATGTTCAGAACCAAACAAAGCTAAATCGATGAAGAAAAGGTCAGCCCCATAGAAAAGTGGGCAAAATATTTACACTTCATTAAAGATGATACCCACATGATGAAAGATACTTAACCCCATTAATAATCAGAGAACTTGATATTTATTCTAGTCCTTTTGGTATAATGGCAAACTGTAAGCAATTTACCATAATAGGATCAACTAATTACAGTTTTATATGTATTATAGGAATGCCATTTGGTCTTTACAAGTGATTTAGAGTTATGTTAACAAGCTTCGATTAAAATGTTCACAGATTATATCTCCCATTTGTTAAAAAAAAAATAGACATGAATATGTATTTGTGAAAAATATATTGCATGAAGCCTGGGAATATTTCAGAGTAGCTGTGCACATAGATGATGGTATTTGGAATGATTTTAATCACGTATCTTTTTTACTTATTTGTATTTTCCAGTGTTTCTAAATTGAGCATGTACTGTGTTACTCATATAATTAATAAAATAGGTGTCCAAAATATGACAGTATATCCTTTTTATTGCAGGAATATATTTTCTGTTATTAAATTTTTATCAGATGAGCCACCCCTTAGTTTTAAAAGCATATGTTTGTGCACCTACACATATAGTATGTGCAGTAGCAATACAGAAAGAATGTGATAGTTTAATATTCCAAAGATAAGTTGAAGACTAAGTGCCATCCTTCCATTTTCTTTTCACTTAAATGAGTCTTAATTTTTTCTGCATTTTCATTGCAATTAATACCTTATTGCCTCCTCCTCTTGTTTCTTCTGCCTCTCTACTTTCCATTCTGCTTTTATAATGCTTACATGTCCTTAATATTTTCTTCTGTTAAAATTCTGAATTTACACATCTGGAGAGTTCAGTGCTTTATAAGGTAAATTACATTATGTAAACGGAATTTGTTTTTATAGGTTTAGGGTCTTTAATTTCCTTAAGAATTTCATAATTTCATGGGGAAAAAAATGAACCCTTTCTAAAGTACCCTTTTTGATAAAGTAAATGAATGTGTCATTTGAAAAATGACATCAGCATGTGAGTTTTAACAAGATATTGTTTTCTGGCATTTTTCTGTCACATCAAAGAATGGTTTTGGTTTGGGTTTTTTTTTTTTTTTTTTTTTTTTCTAGTTTGGATAGGATGTTGTATGACAAATCTTTTAAAAAAATGATGTGCTTTTGCTACAACTTCCAAGAAACTGAGAGATAAATTTAGTATTTATTGCACTAGTTAGCTCATTCATGTATACCTGTCTGCTTTAAGTGAAAATTGTTTTAGATTATTAATTGTTCCTTTTATCCTTTTTGAAAGTATAGGTTAAAAAATGTGAATCAATGTGCACGTATGTAAATACATACTCATATGTACACATACTGTGTAAACATGTTTTGGATTTCTTTTAGCCAACAAATGGAATCTTCTTGAGCATGTTTCTAATTGTTCTGCCATTGGAATCCATGGCTCATGGGCTCTTCCATGAATTGGGTAACTGCTTAGGAGGAACATCTGTTGGATATGCCATTGTGATTCCCACCAACTTCTGCAGGTATAGTAATCTAGTATAGTTAGTATTAACTATTCAGTTCATAACATTTTCTTAATATTTATATGAATACAGTATAGCTCTTTTTCAAAACTATATTTTCAAAATATAACTTTTTCATTTCTTCCAAAATTTTAACAAACTTTATTCCAAGTGATATCTTTCAGTTCAATTGAAATATTTTGATGAATACAGTAAGCTTATATTTTGGCTAGATACCAGAATGTATTCATGAATATCTTTTCTAAGGAGAGGTCTTGCCCTACAGGGAATATTTTGTTTAAGAAAGTGTCCTATGAAACAACATAGTGAAATATAATAGAATGTGCACTAGGCTTGATAGGCTGGAGGTCTAGTTCTGTGTTACCTTTGGCAAATTGTAACTACTCTGAACTTTAGTGTCTGTCTTATCTAAAATGCAAATAGTGATACCTATTCTGCTCATCTGACAGGAATGGTATGAAGAACTAAAAAAAAAAAAAAAAAAAGAATATAAAAACACTATGCACACTGAAAATGCCATGCAAATACTAGGAATTCAGAGGATTGACAGTGAAGTTTAATAAATGTTTATTTAATTGCAGTTTTATTCCAAAATAATTTTTACCCACAAAGGTGGTGACATTTGTATAAATCTGAACATGTTGCTACATTTTGATTTTTATTTTATAGCTAAATACCTTTACAATAATTATTTACCATAAATGAATTCTGATGACAGTTTTCATCACACTTTCCTAGGGAGAGGGGAGAATTTTTTCTAATTTCAAGTATTTAACATAAAATCCCCAAATAGACTATTTGTAGGAAAGATTTTCTTTCATGTTAAAGACTTTAAAAGTTGAAGATTCAAGAACTGAAGGAAACAGATTTGGAAATGTCCCATCAAGTAAGAAATGATAACCCTGTAGAAAGAATATGTGGAAATAGTAATATGCACAGTTATATATTTATTCTATTGTAATTTTTTTAATGTATTGCTTATTCTCTTTTGTGACTCTAATGAAAAAAAGCTAGTAGAATAGTATTGATGATACATGAAGCAAAATCTAAGGTTTTCAAAATTCCTGATAGAAATCCCTTTTCTGGATAGGAATGATTTTTTCTTTCTCAATATTAATGGTATTTTGCTAGTTAAAAGACTTGCTTTATCATCTTTACTAGAGCACCATTTTATATTTGTTCAAGAGCAAATCTAAGTGAACTAGTTTTCAGTAGTATAAGGCAATGGACCTAAATTTTAGTAACTTTTTAAATGCCTATTAATAGATAATTTCTTCTGCCATTTGTGTACCGTAAGTTAGTAAAATTTGAACACAATTTTTTAAAGACTATTTTTCAATACAGAAATAAAATAACTAGGCCGGGCATGGTGACTCACACCTGTAATCCCAACACTTTGGGATGCCGAGGTGGGAGGATTATGAGATCAGGAGTTTGAGACCAGCCTGGCCAATATGGTGAAACCCCATCTCTACTTAAAAAATGCAAAAAGTAGCCGGGCATGGTGCCATGCACCACAGTCCCAGGTACTTGGGAGGCTGAGGCAGGAGCATCTCTTGAACCCAGGAGGCGGAGGTTGCAGTGAGCTGAGATCACACCACTGCACTTCAGCCTGGCGACAGAGCAAGATACTGCCTCAAAAAAAAAAAAAAAGAAAAGAAATAATTAAAATATTGCTTTTATATTTTGTGTGTTATAATATTCTTAAAGAATAGTTTTTTTAATAGTCCCCACCCAGATGTTCTTGAAATGGTATAATTCTGCTTTTAAAAAGCCATGTCCAATATCTATCAGGTAAGAAAATAGAAATAAGGAACAAAGAGTAATACTATCTACATTTGGAGATGTTATCCCAAATTTTAATTTGGTTGTTGTTTTAATGATAGTAAATATAATATTTAGAAACCAGGTTTTGATTTCCTAAGCTTAATTCTTAGTACTATGGGAATATTAGAAAGGACTATTTAAAAAAAAAAATTCCTGTCACTTAGCAGCAAATATTATGATTCTTAGATAATTAGTTATAAATGACAGATGAGAATGTAATATAGAGTGAATAAATACTTTTAAACACCAAAATAATTGTTTTTTCTCCTACTTCAGTCCTGATGGTCAGCCAACACTGCTTCCCCCAGAACATGTACAGGAGTTAAATTTGAGGTCTACTGGCATGCTGAATGCTATCCAAAGATTTTTTGCATATCATATGATTGAGACCTATGGATGTGACTATTCCACAAGTGGACTGTCATTTGATACTCTGCATTCTAAGCTGAAAGCTTTCCTCGAACTTCGGACTGTGGATGGACCCAGACATGATACGTATATTTTGTATTACAGTGGGCACACCCATGGTACAGGAGAGTGGGCTCTAGCAGGTAAATTCACCTTTGGTAGTTTCACTATTGTAAAGATACACATGTATTTGTAGAAATCTGTATTTCATACATAGTCATTAAATTTCAGGATTCTCAGTTTTCCACTTCAGTTCACCAAACTATACATATGACTCTTAATTTGTTTTTCTTTGCTCTAGCATACCTGTTTAGCCTAATTTAGTAATCTCTAATGATAAGATTGAGAATTATGTCTTGTAGTGATTAGAAGGAAAAAAATGCTTTGAGACTTATAATCAGTTCCATTAAAATATTTTCAGATTTGCTAAATATATTTTTCAGAAGCTGATAAACTTCTTTGACTAGTTTTTTGTTTGCTTGTTTGTTTTGTGATGGAGTCTTGCTCTGTTGCCCAGGCTGGAGTGCAGTGGTGTGATCTTGGCTCACTGCAACCTCTGCCACCTGGTTTCAAGTAATTCTACTGTCTCAGCCTCCTGAGTAGCTGGGACTACAGGTGTGTGCCACCACACCTGACTAATTTTTTGTATTTTTAGTAGATACAGGGTTTCACTATGTTAGCCAGTATGGGCTCTATCTCCTGACCTCTTATCCACCCATTTCAGCCTTCCAGAGTGCTGACATTACAGGCATGAGCCACTGTGCCCGGCCTTGACTAGTATTTTTAAGTTTCTAAATGTTATAGATGCAGATTTCAGTAGTCCTTCACATCTGTAGTTTTATTTATGTTAGAAAGCTCACCAGAATTTTAAATACTAGATCATGTGGTAATTAATAGGTCAAGTAAATGTATTTGCTTAGGACCTATAACAGAGCCTGGTACATAGTAGAGGATCCTTAAGTAGTTGATAAATAGATGAAATCACTAAATAAATCATTTAAAAAGAAAGGTAATTTTCTTATTTTAGATTAGACATAGTTATTTTAGATTTAATTACATGTTTTTCTGTAAAAGAGTATAGATGTTTTAAACTAAGAATACATAAATAATAAAATAGTCATAAAGTAGAAACATTCAGGATGAAGAAAAAGATAAATAGAAGTAGTATAGAAGGACAGAGGGAGAGTTGCCAATATCAGTATAAGAACTCCAGAAAGAAACAAAAGGATAAAGTAGAGATGATTTTAAACCAGCGTAATCTCACTAATTTTGTGCCAGATTTGTAACTGGTTCTATCAGAAAGAATTTTTTTTTTAAATTTTTCTTTTTTGCCAATAAATATTGAATAACTCAGTGGTTTTCTAGTAGTAAGACAAGATAATATTTATTGAGCACATTTTAAGCATCAGCTTATCTTATTGTACTTAGTACCTTACACACTTTGTTAATCTTCATGTGAAATCCTTTGAGATGGATACCATCACTTCTGTTATCTTCAAATGGAAATTGGAAGTTGTTATGTAACTTATCTATGGTCATACCACTATGTGATAGACCATGATTAAGGACCAGATCTGCCAGACTCCTGAAGTGTATTTTTTCCCCCGCTGTACCATGTTGCCTCCAAGGGTGAACGCCATGATGATAAAGAAATGGCATGTTCTGATTAAGTGGATATTTTTGTTAGCATGGATCACCCATTTCAAAAAATTAGAATGTACAAGACTAAATGTATTGAACACTAAAGCTACTTGAATATAGTTTTAAAAATCTTTTACTTGACCTGTAACTTTTTTTTTTTTTTGCACATCCCCCCATGACCTATAACTTTTTAATTACAATGTAGAAAGCATCTTTTTAACCTTTATGGCTACTTCAGTTTCAGGTAAAGTATAACATTCTGTGTATTCCAACTCAGAATACAAGAGAAAGCTCTAGTCAATTAAAACAGTCTTTACAGAAGTAGAATATTAGATCTAAAAGCAGGGATTGATTACTGAAAACTTACTAAAATGCTTATGATAATAAACTCTACCCAGATTAAATGATGTAAACAGGGCTAATTTTTGGTGGCCATGCATATATCCCTAGTTAAAGTATTGTAAGAGAGTAGTTTTAGAAGTAAGCTTTCTGTGTGTGTTTACATTAAGGATTTATTACTTAATAGAAACACTTTTCAAAAAGTTTGCACTTTTCTTAAGTGATTTAAAATTCATTATTTCTTAAAGATAGCCGTGGAAATCAATCTAGATGTTCATTTTACTAATACTTATCAGCTTTTTCTCAAAGTAAAAAACACTAAGATAAACATATATATAATCAGTGTTCCTAAATTTTCATTCATTGTTTAGTAATAGTTTTTGAAGACTTTAGGAATTCTAAAATAGAGTTATATTTTAGGTAAATGTTTAGCAGTTACATTCTGGAATGATATCTTTATAATTTTTTGCAGTATGTTACCAGTAAATTGACCATTATAGAATTCCTCTATTAGCTAAGGTTTGTTCTTCTGTAACTTTGAGAACTTATTATAAGAAGTTTAAAAAAGAGAGGGAAAAAAAAAAAAAAAAAAGAGAGAAAATGTACTGATCTCCCTTCCCTGACAAAGGTAGATTTTATCCCATAATTCAGCAACTGCATACTATCATGCATGGCCTGAGGCATCTGGCAATACTTGTGGGTAGTCAGGTTGAACCAGGCCCAGAAGCATTCTTTTTAGTTAGTTCATGCCCTGGCCTGCTTTCGACATAGCCCTCAAGGACCGATTCTACCTCACAAATAGTATTGAATATCTCTGCTCTGAGGAAAATGCTTTAATCTATTCCAAATTAAGTGACAAAGAATTTTAAGTTCTACTAATTTATTAATAGGGTATTTTGTTTTGTTTTTGTTTTTGTTTTTGTTTTAGCAGCCTTTGAAATAGGAAACATCACAACTGGATTTTACTTGGGTTAGCAAGTTAATAGCAGGCCCAGTATTAATATCACTGTGGAAAGGAGAATCTTTATTTGCCCTTTATCCCATAACTTTACTCACAGTACTTAGAATATGTAATCTTTTATTTATGGAGTTTCACGATACGGAACTTAATATTTTTGCCTCTTTGCTTGAGAGTAGAAAACAATTATGGTAATTGCAAGAGAGACAGAAATAAATGGAGAAAATGTAGGTAATTTATAAAGCAGTTTATTACAAATAAACAAAGCCTTTAAAAAGCAGTCTCCATTACTTGTAATGCATCAGATGGCTGTTATTTTAGATAAATGTAAGTACTTTGAATCTGGGCCAAAAGCCAAATGTAGCATAGAACCTATTCATAGAGGGAAAGCAGAGCAAAACAAGAGAAATCATTTAGAAAGCTTTAATGCTGCTTGAAGTATCTTGTTGATAGCTAAAGAGCATTTATATAAGAGAATGAGGGTAGAATATGTTAAAGAATGTTTATTGAAATAGTTGTGGATAGCATGTTGGGCAATGATGTTTTGTGGCAGATGGAATTTATATAATAGTTCTTGTAATCTGTGTCATCTTCTAATCTCCAGAGAAATTTAATAGAGCTGGAAATGATGGAGAGTTAACATTTGGCCATTTTTGAAAAAGTGTCTTTTGGGGAGGTATCAGTGGAATAACACATTGGTATTATGTAGAGACCATGTACTGAAATAGCATATCTGAGATAATGTGTGCGAGTGTTAGATTGATTCATAAAACAAATTTATTTTCAGGTTCTTAAGCTACAGTGGGCTACTTAATAAAATATTAATCAATTACACATACAGAATATGATAGAATCCCAACGCTAAAGGATTCTCTGTCTGGTGATACCCACTTTTAATGGTGAAACCAAGAGGACAGTTGATTTGGGGGAAATATGTATTCTGGAGTTAGGTTGTTTGGTTTTGTACTGGTACATTGTAAAAGTAACTTATGCTTAATGTAGAAATTTCAGAAGAGTACTTTAAAAACCACCTGGAAGTGAAACATCCGGCAGTAGCTGCTGTAGTAATTTTTATAGATTAATTGTCATGCTTTTTCTAATATAGACATTTTCTGATCAGTACATTTTCTTTATAAATATTATAAGATTTACTCTTAAGATTTTAGGCTGTAGTTTATTTCCATTTCCCAAGTGGGAAGGAGGTCTTTTTATGTAATTTCTTGTTCCTAGTCTGTTCTTCCCTTAGGATAGATTCCTAGAATAGGAATGATTACATCAGTGTCCATTGAGGCAGGGCCAGATGAGATGAGGGTGGCAGTTGCCTCAGGCACGGAACATAAGGGAATGCCAAAAACCTCACTAATCAAAATGGACATTTTAATGTAGTATACAAAAAAATCCGCAATGATCTAGATGAAAAACCTGTAGTCAGAAGTTTATTTAGAACTTTCTGGGTATATTTTTTTAATCCCTTGTTCTTCAGCTATAAAACTGATTTAAATGTAAATCTATTCTTTAACTCATTTTTGTACAGGTAGGAATAGGGTTTATTTTCATTTAGCAGGTACTTGCATATGAGGAAGAAAAGGAAACAATGGTATAGAATGGGGGCCAAACTTTTTCTGTAAAGGGCCGGATATTTTTCGCTTTGTGGGTTTAGATCCCTGTTGCAGCAATTTGGCTCTGCCACTTTAGAGCAATAGCAGCCATAAAGAGTGTAAATGAATGAATGTAGTTGTGTTCCAGTAAACTTTTACAAAAATTATATCAAATTTAAATTGCATACAATTTTTGCTGTCACAAAATATTCTGATTTTCTTTCAACCATGTAAAAATATAAAATCAATTTTTAGCTTTTAGACCAAACAGAAAGAAGTGGTGGGCTAGATCAGGCCCATGAGTTGTAGTTGCTGCCCCTGCTACATAGAATGTTAGCTTTCTTGTATAGTTGTTTTCACTAAATACAACTATGTAAAACTGTTTTCTTAATTTATAATAGCATATTCCTTTTTATGTGAGTAATAAGGATTTTTTTAACCTCAAGTTGAAAATCTGTTGTAAAACTATCTTTTCCAAAGATACTTTGAAAGTGTCATAAAATTCTTTATTTTTTTGCTTATTTAATTCTAAGAATTTAAGGAAAATACATGTAAGACAAGAGTATTTTCTGAGAGAAAGTGATTAAGAGGGTTTTCTTAATGAGGCTACAGAGATTATTGCTCCATTGAATTTTCTTTTGTTCACAGGTGGAGATATACTACGCCTTGACACACTTTTAGAATGGTGGAGAGAAAAGAATGGTTCCTTCTGTTCCCGGCTTATTATCGTATTAGACAGCGAAAACTCAACCCCTTGGGTGAAAGAAGTGAGGAAAATTAATGACCAGTATATTGCAGTACAAGGAGCAGAGTTGATAAAAACAGTAGATATTGAAGAAGCTGACCCACCACAGCTAGGTGACTTTACAAAAGACTGGGTAGAATATAACTGCAATTCCAGTAATAATATCTGCTGGACTGAAAAGGGACGCACAGTGAAGGCAGTATATGGTGTGTCAAAACGGTGGAGTGACTACACCCTGCATTTGCCAACGGGAAGCGACGTGGCCAAGCACTGGATGTTACACTTTCCTCGTATTACATATCCCCTAGTGCACTTGGCAAATTGGTTATGCGGTCTGAACCTTTTTTGGATCTGCAAAACTTGTTTTAGGTGCTTGAAAAGGTTAAAAATGAGTTGGTTTCTTCCTACTGTGCTGGACACAGGACAAGGCTTCAAACTTGTCAAATCTTAATTTGGACCCCAAAGTGGGATATTATTAAGCACTCATACTACCAATTATCACTAACTTGCCATTTTTTGTATGCTGTATTTTTTATTTGTGGAAAATACTTTGCTACTTCTGTAGCTGCTCTCACTTTGTCTTTTCTTAAGTAATTACGGTATATGTAAGGTGTTGGGAAAAAACATTTTGTACTAAAAGTATATAGGGAGTCAAATGCTGACTGTAAATGTGTAAGAGATGTTAAAAATCATACTGCACTTTCAGGAATGTTTGCATATGGTCCTGATTAGAAAGAAAACAGTTGTTGTCTATGCTCTACAGTGGCCAATGATGAATTACTAATGCCTTATTTTCTAGGCATATGATAGTTTAGAGAATGTAGACCAGATAAATTTGTTTACTATTTTAAGAAAACTACCAGTTTACTTACAGAAGATTCTTTTTTCCAAACAGTAGGTTTCATCCAAGACTATTTGAAGAACTACAAACTCTTTCTCTTAGAAAAGAAAGAGGGCTGCCCAAAATAAATGCAAAATTTGCTTATACTTCATCACATTCAGATGTCTTGGTTGTGACCTTTTACCAGTGTAGCAGAGAACCCTAATTACATTTTAGATTAAATCATTCTTTATGTGGGTATTGTTAAAAGGCTTGAGCCTACAAGTTGCTCTTTCTTGAATTGGTTGAGGGCACTGAAAACACTGGTAATATTAAGAGTCTTTCTCAGGGTAACTTAATGTTTTCTTAATGAACAATGTTTCCAGCTACAAATTCCTTCCAATAAGTTGTCTTCCTTTGTGAAAAGGTACTCTCATAGAAGAAATTTAGCAATTTCTCATTGACTGACTCAGTCTGTTTTAAGTATTCAGAAAAGATTTTGATCCCTATTGAGCTAATGCTCCGCCATGAAAATATTTTTCTGATCCATGTTAGTGATAACATTTTTTTTCTACTGAAGGTCAAAGGATAGGAAACATGTCATTTCTTTTCTTGTATATGTGTAATGTATTATGTAAAAAAGTATTCATATTGGCAATTTTAGTTAAGCATAATAGTGTGGTTGTAATTTTTAAAACTTAATTCAGTGTTCTGTCTGATTAAAGCAGGCACTGATCAGGATATCTCCTAAGAGGTAATTCACTTCATATTTCCTTCCAGTAATTATTACATTCTAAATTTTCATCTATGAGAAATAACAAGAGGGGAATAGAATTAAATTGGGGAATAATCTAATCTTCATTGTTTAAATGGTTTGACTTCTCACCATTGAAGCCATTTTTTCTAGCCTCAGAAAGAGGAAATAATGCTACCACCATTTTCTACCTGGTGACTTGAAAATTGAAGTTTTAGGTTAGGAAGAAGTTACTTAGAGTCAGGGAACTTGTTTACCACTATCTATGCAGTATTGTTATAGTCTATTTCTATGGTTTGAATATGATTTTCCTAATGCTCTGAATAAAATTTTGTTAAAAATTAATTTTTCATTTAATGTGCAAATATTGAATATTCTAGTATATTGAAAGTGGTAGTCATTAAAAATGCCCATGTTTTAGATTTCATGTTTGAAAGGTTCCAATATAGGTTAAGGATTTATATTAGCATTGTCCAAATAAAATAGTATAGTGTTTCATTATTGTTCTCTTCAGCAGTAGTGTAGTAGAAAAGCCAAATGTTAAAATTATGACCTTTTTAGCTTCAAAAAAAGTTAATGTTAAGTAAAATCTCTTTTTAAATTTTTTAGCAATTTGTGAGCAAGTTAGCTTTAACTAAAGCATTATTTCTTCACTGTAACGAAGCCAGAAATAAAAGTATGTTCTGCATTCTTTATAAGGTAGTATTAAGGTGGTACTAAAAATTATAAAAACAGCTGACAGTTTGACAGCCGCAAACCTAACTTTTTGATATATATTTTCTGTGAAAGTAAAACCAAAAAAGGTCTTTGGGCCAAGAATGTGACTTGAACAAATTTATTAACCAGAATTTATAGAATATCCACTTTGGTGAATTCTCCTACCCAAACAAACAAAAAACTATAAATGACCCTTTGGGATGATATCACAAAGCTGATATTTAAAAAACAATAAGGATGTAAAAAAGAAATACTGTAAGAAGGATAAAGTGATTGGTTACTTTCACCTAAAGATTAAAAAATAGGTCTGACAATGATTCTAATTTGTTTATGGCTGTCATATTTAAGAAAGAGTTGCTTGGAATGAAAGGAGTTATTTTAGGGCAAAACTTTACCATCCTACTAAAAAGAGGTAACATGGAAATATTTTCAACATTATTTTATTTAATGTTTGTTTCCTTGTGTGATACCTTGCTAAAACCACAAAAGTACTAACCTCTAAAACATCTTTTAAATAGTGTACACACTGTTGCAAAATAAATAAGGAGCCAAGCTCTTTCTCTCCCCATGACTTTTCAGTTATGCTGTCATTTTAAAAAACATTTTTTAGTTTGCTCTGATCTAAACTCTTCCTCCCTAGGAAAATTGGGGTTATATTTCCATAGAATTCTATCTTGCTCTTAATAAATTCAAATTTTATGGAAAAGATGCATTTCAGAAGATTATTCTTGTGACCAGTTATGCTTTAAAAAAATTAAATTCTTAAAATGCACTTATATTTAATGTATTATTGGGTAGATTTTTGTTTTGAGTACAATCTTCATTAGAATCCATTTGTAACTGGATGTGTTATAATTTGGGGCTTAAACATATTTACTCTTTTGGGTGCTGCTTTTTTATATGTATTCAGATTGAGAGCTTAGTCTATTTTAAAGTAATATTCTACATTACTTTCCCACAAGTGATGATAGTTAATATAATGTATGCCAGAAGAAAATGATTTAATTTTAAGAATACGGTTAGATATATTTGACGGTAAATGCTCAAAGGAGTTAGATCTGTCAGTACTTTTGAATGTCTCCTGTATTGGAAACTATTAAGACTGTCACCTCTTTTTAGGCAGAGGCTTACACGTGTTGGTATTTCTGGCACACAATTAGCGAGAAGAGTGCCTTGTCCATAATGAGAAGCATTTAATAAATATTTTGGACTGAGTGAATAAATTTAGAATTCTAAGGAGAAATTGGAATAACTTGATTGTAAATTACTACAGTTTCTTTACAGTTCTACTTAAATTGATACTATTTCAAGATCTTTATTAAGCAAGTAATTTAGTAAAAACTTACAGAATCCGTAAAAGCAAAAAAAATCTGAAATTTGTAGTTAAGAGTAATAAGTGTTAAGGTTGGGGAAGGAAAAACTGTTTCAGAACTGGTTTCAATGAAAACATAGCTGATGTTGCCAAAAAATGGCTTTTTGTGGGTTGAGTCCATTTCCATCATGACTCCAATATCATTAAGATTGAATCATTCATTTCCTCACTATTAAATCTAGACAGATTAGAGATTTATCACAAATAGAAATTATTAAAAGTCTGACGAACAAAGAAGGAATTTAGCTGTGCATATCAGTGACAACTAAATTGTAAGGTCAGTAAAATAGGCCTGTAAACAAGCAGGTTAAGGATAAGCTAGGGGGTCTCTCCTTGCCGCGGTGGGAGCAGAGTACCGAGTCTGAGGCTGAGGGAGTCATGGCAGGACAGGTGTTCAGAAAGTTTCTCCCACTCTTTGACCGAGTATTGGTTGAAAGGAGTGCTGCTGAAACTGTAACCAAAGGAGGCATTATGCTTCCAGAAAAATCTCAAGGAAAAGCATTGCAAGCAACAGTAGTCGCTGTTGGATCGGGTTCTAAAGGAAAGGGTGAAGAGATTCAACCAGTTAGTGTGAAAGTTGGAGATAAAGTTCTTCTCCCAGAATATGGAGGCACCAAAGTAGTTCTAGATGACAAGGATTATTTCCTATTTAGAGATGGTGACATTCTTGGAAAGTACGTAGACTGAAATAAGTCACTATTGAAATGGCATCAATGTGAAGCTGCCCATTCCACTCAAGTTCTGAAATCTTTCATCATGTAAATAATTTCCATATCTCTCTTTTATAATAAACTGATGATAACTGGAAAAAAAAAAAGGATAAGCTAGGGAAACTACAGATATCTCCTTTTTTATACTATCTTACCTGTTCACTAATTATAACACATATTAACAATATAAAACAATGAAGTTTAAGCAGTAATTGTTTTTACCAACCATTCTGTTGATAATTTACACTTATGTTTATTAGGAAATGTTATTACTTAGACCAAAGTTGATTTAAAATTGGAAACTCTGGGCTACCCATAAGGTTTTTTTATTTTGAAATATTCAATACCTAAAAGCCATTTTGATTTAAAAAAATGAAGATGACCAGTCATCTTGTATGATGACCTCATAACATTTTATAAGTTTGAACTTAAAATAGAAGTAGACAGTTTTAGTAATCTTTTGTTTTTGTTTGGTCTAGCCTAAAAGACATTGATTTATCTTAAAGATTTTTAGCAATGTGCCAGGGATAAGTGAGAAATATGGCTTATCTTCCTAGACAAGCAGCATTCACTCAGTGCCAAGTAAACTTTTCTCTAAGTTCAAAAATATTTTTTATATTAAAACACATACCAATGTATTGATGAACAAAACTTACATTAATTTTTTTCTTTTAACCTGGTGTCTGGGTACCTTTCTTTTTTTTTTTTTTTTTTTTGCATTAATTTTTAATATAATCTACAGACTTCACAGCAATTTAATCTTGCAGCGGGTCATTTGATTCATCCTTCTCATCCCAGAACACGTTGGACACAATACTGGATGCTAATGATACTCTAAACAATTTTTGAAAAAAAAAAAAACAAAAAAGCCTTTGTCTTATGACTTGGAATATGAATAGCACAACAAATTTTCATTAGACAATTCATTTCGTTTATATATAGAATTTCAGACAGATGCCATTTTAATGGCATTTTATGATAGATATTTCTAGATTCTTCAAAGTCCTTATATGTAATTTTTCTACACACTTGGGCATTGGTAAGGAAAACTACAGGGTGTGCAGATTTTAATTTGTAATCCACATCCATGTGTATTTATACATGTTCTCTCTTATCTAATTAGAAGAGGCATTCTTTATAACAGCTAACCTTTGGATTCCTCTCTTCCCCATGTAACAATTTAATAAAAATGACAATGGCTATTACTTATTTTTCACTAGGTTCTAGCACTGTGGTAAGCACTTCTATATACTGATTACATTGAATCTGCTCAGCCACCTTTTATGGTAGACATACTTTTATGAATGAAGAAACAGGCATAACTTTACCAAAATGACAAAGTTATCTCTAAGAAATTGGGTCTCAAACTCAGCTGTTAACCCCAAACTCTTTTTTTTTTTAAATGCTTTGTAATTCTATCAATTTGTTATCTTCATTGTCTCTACTAGCACTTTTCCCTCAGGATACAGTATGAACATTCTCAAGGCCTTTTAGTAGTAAAGAAATCCTCCCACAATTTTACATCAGATCTTATTTTTTTCTTACAGTGAGGTTATTTGAAAGTGTGTGTTCTGTAGTCAGCCTCCAATTTCTCAGCTTCCATTATATCTTGTATCCATAGCAATCTGGTTCTACTCAGCACTCCACTGACAATGTTCTTACTAAATCACCAGTGACCTCCATATTGCCAAATAAAGAGACATTTGATCTCTAGAGCATTTATTAACTACTTCCTTTATTTTCTCCTTTTGGGCTTCTGTAAGTACTATTCTTGATTTTTCTGCCATTTTTCTGGACATTCATAGTGTGTTTTGCTAGCTCTTTATACTATATTTTGGATTTTCTCATATTCCTTCTTTGCTCATTCCATCACCTGCTTTCAGTAATCTCATTCACACAGGATTTCAGCTATAACACATTCCACTGATTGCCCTCAAATGTCTGTCTCCAATCTACACATCTCTGGCACTCCAGGTACATGCATTCAGTCATGCACTGAACATCTCATTTCACAGATTCCTCATACTCAAATTCAAATCAGGTAGAGCCTCATCCAAATGGCTTAGTTCCCTTTATTTATGTGCACGTGGATGGTACCATTGATGATTTATTACTCAAACCAAAATTTGGGTTTTATCCTTGACTCTCCCTCTTCCTCGTTACCCACATCCCATTAGTCACCAAGTCCTACTAATTCTACTTCCTACCTAGTATTTTATTATAACCATCCCCTCATCTCCATTCCTACTGCCTTTACCCTATAAAGGCCTTCACCAATTTTTCCACTAGTTATTGTTATAGCTTAACTGTTTTTATTCTACCGTCTCAAGTCTCATTTTGCTCCAATATAACGTCCATATTTTTGCCAAAACAATCTGTCTATACTCCATATAACTTTCACCATAAAGGATATATTCCTTGTGTTAGCTTATCAGGCATGCCTCATGGTTAGCTCGTTTCTAGAATCTCTTGCTATTCTTCATCTCAATCACCCTCTCTCTTGTCATTTAGAACTGTTCATGAATCTGTGAAAATATTATGTGATTTTTAAAAACCAGTTCCATGTGGGTTCAAAATACATGCTGGTCTCAAAACACGTTAGTCACAAGTGAAGCAAGGCTCAGCAGGGAGAATAGATCGTGCTGGTAGCATAAATCTGGCATGAAAAATTGTTTCCTATATTATGTATGAATCACAGTTTTGCATCCAAGAGAGATACTTGGGAGTAGAGAATCATGGACACTGACTAACGAATCTAACAACTGACTTTTTATGTCATTGGTCCTCACCGTGACATGATGGAGACAGGCAGATCATGGCAAGTAGAGGGGAGAGCCTTGGGAGGTAGGTCTGGAGTGCAAGGCTTGGTCCACAAAACTATGCAGCATCACTAAGTCTCTATTTAATCCAAAAGGAACTTGCTTGCCAGTCTAGTTTTACCAAAACATAGGAAAATGCTTATTACCCAGGCAGTGCAAAATAGGATCGGAGCTGTGAAGTGCAGGGGTGAAGTAAGCAGCCGCTTTGCAAACCATGCACCATCTTGTTTTGTGATTTTTCTTTTTGACCCCCTTGTAGGTAGTGCTGTTTCAGCAAAGCTGGAAAGGGATCTGCATGGCCAACATCTGTGAAACACTAAAAGCATTCCCCACATGGCCTTCTGTCCTCAAAGTGAGGCTTATCAGTTCAGAAAGACTAATTCTGGAGCTGTGCTAGTTATTATGCAGGACTCTTCTCATTCCATGTTACCCAGTAACTGGTAGAATAGAGAGTTCTGCTTCATTACAAATGATGCAATTTCACAGTCAAGGGGCACCACTCCCACCCCCTGAACCTTTTAAGAACTTCATCCTCAGGCCTTGGACATTCCACACAAAGTCTTGGGTGTCCTGAGAAGTTACCCAAACTCCACAGTGAAGGGAACCATGACCTAATCCTACCATCCCCTCCATGGGGTCATCAGGCACCTTTTTCCCAGCAGAACCACCAGACCCAAAGCTCAGTCCTGGAAGCTCAGGGAATTTTTTTTGTTTTTATTGAGACACCTGTTTGCATCTTCTGCGAGACTTCAGACTAGAAATGCCTTGTGTTCTCTTGCCCCCTTGAATTTGATGGCTAAGATATCTAGAACTTCTGAATTAGAATGCTTTGCAGGGTGCCAGGCTTCCTAGTGTATTTGGAGAGGCAGGC